TCCACATTTTTTTGAAGCCGTATACTAACCCCTCTTCCAGCATGCATATATTTTGTATGCTTGTGAAAATGGCAAACATTGTGAATGATCCTTTACACAGGAAGTGTCTATTTTAAGGCATCGTCACTCTGAATCTGTTAAGAAACCTATCGTGAATAATCGACAGTAAACAACTCTAAACTGTGTTCATACTTATAGAGTAGTACTTACTAGATATTGGGTTATTATTAAACCTAGACAAGTCAAAACCAAAACAGCTTACAATCATGGAATGTGATACGGCAAAATCACACTTACAAGAACAAAAACAAAAAATAAGAGCAAAAAACAACATTCACAAGAATAAATATGAAGATAATAAGTCAAATAATTGATACTACACATTGCTTTCAGTCAGTTTACTGCAGTTGTCAATGGCCATGGATGTTGATGCGAGTTCATTTAAATCTTACTTGAAAAGGTGTGATTTGTGTAGAAATGTGGAATTTATTTTGTCGGTAGTAATACGATAACATTTCACCATTGAGGGACCATTTCATCCTTCAAGACTGCCCCTGTACATCCACCCCCTGAGAAAAATAAATTTAAATCCATGCTTTTATTTTTCGGGAATTCATCTCTTGCCCTCTTAAACTCTTGAAATATTTAAACTTCCACTACTATTAACCAAAACTTGTTCCATAAGCTAATCACCCTGTAACACTGAAGAATAAGAATGGTGGTTAGTTTTATTCTGATTAAATATATGATTACTAACAAATAGTAATTGAATTTTTTCAGTTGGTTTAAATTTTTTAGTCGGTTTGGGAAGGATTTCGTTAAGCTGACTTGACTTAAGAGTTTAGTCACCTTTTTTTATTTTTACTATTGCATCCTTACAACCAGGCCTAGGTATTTTTATCAGGAATTATAAATAGTGTAACAAAATTATGAAAAATATTTACAGGGGACACTGTATTTGTTCACGGAGCTGCTGCAACGCCTCGGAAGCTAGTGCCTGCTATGGTGGAACATGCCAAGAAAGAAAAACTCAAGAACATTACCGTATGCCACATACATACTGAAGGTGCTGCGGAATACAACCATCCAGATTGTGAAGGTATTCTAAACTAGTGTGTATCAAGTTACAGTATATGGGCTAGCTCTGTGAATTTCAGTAGAATAAAAAGATATGTTCATTGGGATTGTATACTTATGTAAATGTATCTTCAATTCACACCTTCATTACTTCTTTTCTTAAAAAATGACCATCGTTCGTCTGATGTTGCTTTGGAACTCAAATTTTGTATTTTTTCTCTATGTGTAATTGATTGTGTGGTAAGAAAAAACTTGT